TGAAGGCGCTGTAGAATTTTATCCCTATCAGCAATAAGAAGACGACCATCCGAAATAGGCATACTCAGATAAATGATTGGAACTTGTCAACTTTACAACGTAAAATCCGAGCCACTGAATTTAAAATCTCATAACTACAATTCAAACCAACCACTGCAGTTTTTCCAAATTAACCTTAAGACCTAAGGCTACTTCACAACAATTTAACAGGGTAGTAATATTGTGTACCTGATCGATCTGCGCTGCGCAGAATAATAACGTATCATCAGCATATTGCAAATGAGAAATACAAGGCCCCCCATTAGGCATCTGAAAACCAGAGAAATGGCCACTCCTAGCAATATTAGACAGCATTAAGCTAAAACATTCAGCATAAAGAGTGAACAAGAAGGGAGAGAGTAGGTCACCTTGACGAAGACCCCAAGTGGCCTTGAAGAGACCAATCAGACTTCCCTTATACATAATAAAGAAGTATGTTGAAGATAAACATCCAAAGATCCACTGTCTCCATTTATTATTAAAGCTCATATTATTCATCACCTCTAATAAAATGCTCCACTCAACTCTATCATAAACCTTTTTCATATCAAGTTTGATTACTACCTTAGGTAACCCGCTTCTAATTTGAAAGTGGATACATTATTGCGCAACGAGGACACTGTCAGAAATCAGCCTATCCTTGATGAAGGACGATTGGGGACCAGAGATAATGAACGGAAGAACCACCATCAGCCATTCAGCCAAAACCTTCGCCACGATTTTGTACAGGGTAGTTAACAAACTAATGGGTCTAATATCACCCAAAAAGGCTATGGAAGACTTTTTATGGATTAAAGCAATGTAGGTAGAATTCATTCCCTTAAAAAGATACCATCTCTGAAAGAAACCCCTAGTCATTTCCAAAAATTCACCGCTAACCAAATTCTAAAAGTTTTGGAAAAAGATTAGAAGGAATCCATCAGGACCAGGGGCCTTATCACCCGGTAATGCAAATACTGCAATTTTAAGTTCTTCCACACTAATGTCCCTATCCAACTGAGTATACAGATTGGTAGGAAGCACTTTGAAACTAACCCTACTCAGATTAAGCAAGACATTGACTTTTGAGGAGAATACCTTTTGGAAGTGACTAATAATAGCTTGGGACATTCATTCACTATCGTCAGGCTCCACACCCTGAATAGTAAGACCAGAAACATCATTCTGGCGTCGCCTGGCATTAGCAGTAGCATGAAAGAATTTGGTGTTCAAATCACCTTCTTTCAACCATTTGACCCTAGATCTTTATTTCCAGTACACCTCTTCCACCCTTATGAGTTCCTAAAGCTCATTAACTTTGACACTTTTAGGCAAAGCCATCTCCTCAGACTGCATTCCAATCTGTTGCATGGTGTCATCAATCTCCTCTATATACCTTAGCACCTCGTCAATCTTTCTTTTAACAGAGAATCCCTTCTTTTTTTCAAACCAGGAGCTTATGCTTAATATTCTATAACTTTTTGTGGAATTGGAAATCTAAAGGGCTAATGGAAATCGAATTAACTCATGTGCTTCTAATAATCTCAATAACTTTATTTTCTTGCAGCCAACCAATGTCTAGCCGAAAAGGTTTAGGGCCCCCCAACTAAACTTTAGAAGACAACATCAAAGGGGTATGATCAGAGTCTAGGGAGAGCTTTGACAGAAGCCAAGGGAAACAAATCAGACCACTCTTCAGAAATCAGAAATCTATCTGGCTTAGACATAGAAAAATTTCAGACACTACCATTGGTCCAAGTAAAAGTCGTACCAAAAATTGGAAGATCAAGCAAATCGTGGCTCTCAATAAATCGATTAAAGAGTCGTATAGATGCATTGATCACCCCACCATTAGAACTCTCTTCAGGCCATCAGGTAAAGTTAAAATCCCCCCTAAACAAATGGGAAAATGGAATTGAGAAATAACATCATCCATATTAGAAATGAAGGAAACTTTTTTATCAAAAGAATGCGGACCATAAACATTCAGCAGGTCCTACTGAAAGTCAGCCTTAGGACCCACAAAACCAACAAGCAAGAAATTGTCTTTTTTCACCAAAGCAAAAGACCGTAAAATAGAAGGATCCCACAACATCCAAATACCCCCATAGGCCTCAACATAATCTAACCGCACAAAATCTAAAGCTCTAGGAGCCACACTTCTTGAGTCCCAGATAAATTAGGACTGAGAAGTTTGGTCTCCTGAAGGATAAGTACAGTGGGTCTATATTTGCAAACCAAAAACAAAACATCTCTCTTACATTTGCGGTCACCAAGACCTCTAACATTCCAAGATAAGACTAACATTAAAAAGGTTTAGAGAGGGAGGAACCATACCCATCCCCGCTAAAGCCAGACGACCTCTCTGTCTCCATCTCTGCATTCATAGCCTCTTCGTCCAAAGCCTCCATGTCCACCACCTCATCGAGAGCAGAGTCCAAAGAAGACGGAGAGGAAGAGCTAAGTTCAATGACCTGTGCTTCACGAATAACAATACCTACTGGTCAGATTCCCCAAGCCATTAGTCGAGTCAAAGTTCTAGTGCCTTTCATCGAGCTCTTTCCTTTCTTCTTTTTCTTGGCCACATTCTTCGAGGGAGATATCTGACCACCAGAAGCGACATTCTTGCTTGCCTTGTCGACGGACCCCTGCCCAGCACCAAAAGAAATTCTCTCAGCATACTCAGCTCTAAGTTTATCCACTATATCCTTGAAAACAACTCCAATGAGGACATCAAAGTCCATCTTGTTGTCATGAACAATAACAACTACCTTAACTCCAGAAGAATCCACCTGATCAGTAGAAGGAGAAACATGCACTGCAGGAACAGGGGTCGGGATCTCAGTAGGCACTGCTGACTAGTGGAGAAGTAAAGGTCGCTCATTAGATGGGATCACGTTCAGAGGCACAATAGTTTCCGCAGTAACTACAGCATTCCCAAGTTCCACCATCCTTGCCATCAGCATCCTCCAAGGCGACTTCTGGTTCCACCTGCCCTCCATTTACAATAGCAATGGGGGGAACTCCACAACACCCTCATCCATCATAGCAATAGGGACAACCTCTTCATACACCACAACTAGAGCCAAAGGATTGATTATGAGCGGGTCAAAAGATGGCATGACAGAGGAGCGCTTCTTCCTGGCAGCCCGACGATGCCAAAGAGGATACATAATGCTAAGCACCGCCAGAACAAACTGCAGAGCCGCCGACGAATGTAGACGATGACCAGCTAGGGATAAAGCAGCAGCCACCAACTTCGTCCTAAAGAAATGGCTATACCCCGCTGAACGAAGACTCTTCAGAAGAATGGAGAAGAAGGCTCCATCCTTCACGCATGCTCGCACAGGGAAAGAGCAGGCGTCCACGTGGTTACCCGCCATCATCTCAAACATCGCAAATCGAGCCTAAAATCCCTGGCGTAGGGATTGACCTCCCACCTTTTCTTCTACCTTAATATCAAACTTATGGTCTTAGGTGGACATGCGGTCAATGAAATCAGCTTTGAACCATCAGCATTATCCAAAACGTTCGCCGACGAAGTCGCCTCAAAATTCGCAAAACGTCCCATAGGAATCCACTGTTTACAAAGTTTTAAAATTTGAAATTCCCTCATCCCTGTCCTAGGAATCTGGGAATTATTCAATGGTCGGGAAACACCGTCTGGAACAGGCTTGGCAGGTACATGAGGACGCCAACGAATAACTTTCTACCATCCCATCTCCGCCATTGACTGTTTGGGTCATTTCTTTGAATAATAAAAGACCCACTACCCTTTTCTTTCAATTCACACGTGACTGAAATAAAAAAAGACTCCTGGCCCACTTGAAGCCCGACAAACTTGGGAGTGGGAATACCACACAATTTTCAAATACTGATACAGACAAAACACAAGTCAAACACCATCAAAAGTAGCTTTATCAATATCGTAAAACTCACCACATTTATTTGCCAACTTACTAAAAGTAAGTAAGGATTAAGCGTGAAAAGAAATACCAGAAAACCGGATCCAGAGACTTTCCTTCTGCAAATAAAAAAGATGGGATGCAGGTTTCCAAAGCTCAAGAGACAGAAGTCTTCCTCTAATACGAATAAAACAATTGTGTAAAGCTGCAACAACATCTTCTTTCGAGCACAAGAAAAAGATGATCTTGTTATCTGCCATGATCTTAACCTTAGGAGTATAGGACAACCCCCAGCTTCTTCTAGCCCAATCAGAAAAGCCAAAGATGTCAGTAGAGGGCGGAGAGAAAGAACCCACCACAAAAAAGTTCGCCCCAGACAATAAACGACTACTAGGGTTGAATTTAATAAAAACCACAAAGCCACCACCTGCTTCAAAAACCACACCGCCATCTTCGTTCTGTACCACTCCCTCCATCTCTCACTTTACTCCTACTCTACTGTCTTCTTCTCACACTACAAGGGTGCAACCCTTAAACCCCTTAGCAAATACTTTATCACATGGAATGGTATAGCATCCACATCTAGCAGGTGTTTAGGCGTTCAATGGCTCAGATTGATCCTGGCTCATCCAAGGGCCACAAATTGATTTTATTTTTCATTTTTACAGTTGTTATTTATGCAAAATTTGGGGCGTTCATATATAAATAATGCACCAAATAAAATTTAAGAATATTTTGAATAAAAGTTGACCAAAATGCCTATAAAATATTTAAAGGTATTTTAGTTAAAAATTTAATTAAAATATTTTACTTTTGTTTTTATTTGATGCACCTTACAAAAATGAATCAGCATCCCAATTTTAGGTAGAATAATACATAAAAAATAATAAATAAACAGTAAATCAATTTGTAGCCCTTGAATGCTCCCAGATTAAATTTTAGCCATTGGATGATTACTTGTGCTCCCTTGAATAATCCATGTACTTTTAATTTCTATATTATTATTTCATGTTATTCTATCTTGTGCCGATTCCAACCGGTTGAAAACAAAACTCTAAGAATAGGGGTGGCAACAGGTGTGATCAAACTGAAAATCAGACCCAAATAATATTCGTGTCCAAAATTTGAATACATACTCAATCCCATCGACTACTGGCACGGGCCAGATCTGGATGGACCCAAACGCAAACTCGAATAGTATTGAGGTGCTTGGAGTTGGTGGGGTCTCAAGTCTCGTCTAGTCCATTGCCACCCTTATCTACCAACGATATTATTGTATCTGGTAAGAAAATATTGGGAAAGGAAGATACTCTCCCTATAAAATCTGACAAAAAAAGAGGGAGTAATAAAGAGGCGCACATGAAGGAGAAAATGGGAGCCAACCCATCCCATCCCATCCCATCCCATCATATCCTAATCCAGACAAACCCCACGCAGCAGTGTCAGCCTGCAAGAATGTCGCTAAAAAACCAAGAAAAATGCAATGCCCTATTTCACGTGAACCCACTCCCACTCCCACTCATTAACCTACTTCCATTAACCCACCGCATTTATATCCCTTCACTTTTTTTTACCTAATCTCCTCGCACTTTTCTCCTTCATCTTTCTACCAACTTCCTCTCTCTCTCTCCAAAATTAATAATTACAACGAATAGTACACAACGCAGCTAGACAGAGAGAGTGAATTCAAACATCCTTCAAATTTTGAAACTTAAAAAACATTTTCTTTTTTTATCTGTTCCGCCTTAAGAATTAAAGTAGCACTGCTAATATTCGTTGTTCACCCGGAGGATTCGAGGGCGACTCCTCTTGTCTAGGTCTTTGGGCGAGGCCACCCCACTAGGACGCGCATCCGGTTTGAGAGAACCCGAGCCGAGATCGCTCGTTATCAAAGACGAAAAGGAAGCCTTGTTGAAACAAGTTCCCCAAAATGGAGAAACCATCGGCCCTGGGCACGCTTTGTATGGCCAAGCACTTAACACCCGGCTCCACTTCTAGGAAGTAGTTGCTCGGTGGTGGCGCCATTACTGCGCCACCCTTGAGCCCGAGCTTTAGCGTCGGCAGCTTCACTTCACCACTGGCATTTACACACAGATCAAATGACTGTACCTTTGGGACCCTCTCTTTCTTTCCCACTCTCTCCTCGAAAGCGGCTAAAATCTTGCGGTACGCGGGCTCGACGAGGAAGGAGAGAGTGGTGCCGGAGTCGATAACTGTCCCGCCATTGCCCTCGCTGTCGACCGCCCATACTGATGGCTCGATTTCGAGCGAACGTCCTTGGACGCTTACTTTCTCGATGGCGACGTAGTAAAATGTGGGAGCCAGTGGGTTCGTGATTATGGGTGTGAAGCTCATGGGCTTGGTGGGCTCGTGGGGCCCCAGGAGGAGGTAGCTGCTGAGAGGCGGGGCGTCAGTGTAGTCAGCGAGGCAGTATGAGAAGGTGCTGCGGCCGGCCTGTGAAGCGAAGGAGACCGCGCCACGGCCAAGGCCAAGCACACCAACTGCGCCACTGAAGCTTGGCCCAGACAAGCTCGGCCCGCTGGCCTCGAACCCACACCCAAACGCAATGCCCGGAACCTGAGCCTCCCGCCCTGAGCTCGTGTTCATTGTTGCGGTCTCGGTTGAGAAGAAGCCCTCAGAAACTGAACTATCGCCATAGGTGTATTTGTATCGACAGGGGCTATGTAGTCGGGTGTGGTTGCAATGGCTGTGAGGCGGAGGTGGGAGAAGGGAGCAGGCGCTAGAGTAGCAGTGGACGAGAGAGAAGGAGGCAGAATGGCGAAAGAAGAAGGCGGAGTTGGGTTTGTGATGGCTACAATTCCGACAGGGGGAGCATTTGAGCCAGATGAGGTCGCTGCCGGTGTCCGTGACAAGGGTAAGGGTTTGGGGGGGAGAGCCGACGCGCAGATGGGCAAAGTATTGGCCAGAACCGAAAGGGGCGCCAGAGACGACCGGGACCGAGAGGCCTGGGTGTCGGCGGCCGCGGAAGAGGGAAGCGAGGAGGAGGGAGTCAGAGTGGTGGGGAAGAGACGGAGTGCGGAAGAGGGTGAGTTTGAGGGGTTCTGGTTTGGAGGGGGTTGGGGCAAGGGTGAGGACGAGAGAGAGGAGGATTAGGTGTGAGAGTGGTGCCATGGTTCATGTCCCCCTCACCTTTTCTGCTTTAATCTCTCTCTCCTCTCCCTCTGTTTTGTTGGGGAAGGGGGAGGTTTGTTCGCGCAGAGAGAAAGGGAAGATGGGGGCTACTACTCCTTTGAGGCTTACTTTCTTCATTTATTCGATAAATTTCTTTTCTTTTTCTCTCTTCTTTTTTTTTTTTTTACTTTTAAAGCTAAAATGACAAGGCTGTAAAATAACGAGAAATGTCCTTTTTGGTTGGGAGAAAGGTGTGTTTCTCATATGGGGTTCTCAAAAGTGTTCTTCATATGAGCAAGTTGATCAAGCGTCGGAATTACACCAACAAAATGATACAAATATTGTCATGGAAAAAATTTATATGAAGTTGTGACCTTCATGTAGAAGTAAGGTGCACTTCAAAAATCTAGTAGGCAATAATTTTTCAAAGTTGGAAAAACTTCTAATTGATCATCTCACCCTTGAGATGTAGGGATGTTAAAAAAAAAAAATTTGAATCCTTAAAATAGTGCATCTTGTAACAAGTTATGTAGATTGTTTATTTTTCAAGATTTTCAAGTGTTGATAGATCTGCTCGATTTAGATCATTTTTTATATTTTAAATTTTATAATAAGGGTTGAACATAGATTTTCAAACCATTATAATGCTTTTCACACCAAAACTACATCTTCTTACGAAGTTTAGAAGTGTACCTTACTTGTACATAAAGTGAGCACCTTATATAAACCTCACCCGAATGTTATTGTTTTTACTTTCCGTTGGTCCGTGTCTTTGATCGCTTTATGAAGGTACGATCTTTGATAGAGCAATAATGGATCAGGATTCATATAGCCAAACTCAAATAATTTAAAAAAAAAACTCTACTAATAAAAATGATATTTGATTCCACCTTATTTACTTGTATAATAACACAAGATCCCGAGAGGGGTGAACCGGAAACAATCCTAACCTTTGGTGAGGATTCAAAACCGCGCTGCCATCGCACCGAGTGACGGTCCCCCTATTTTCCTGTATCTAAAACACAAATTCACTTGTGTTTCACCGTTAGGCTACCAAGATCCACATTATGCAAAAACTGACAACTCAGGGGAGAGAGAGTGCCAAATCTTTAGGGGAAAGTGATGCACTATTCGTAATAAATCCATTACAGTTTTCATAAATGAAAAGAGAGATTGATAATACCTCTTCTACATCATCAACATCGAGAGAGAGAGAGTCACTATTCTACACTTTATCAAACCCGATGTATAGGATGCTAAAGTGAGCCTCCCTATCCATCATCCTCGAGACACACTCCGGCCGGAGAACCATGCGGAAAACGATAATTATCGATGCAGCCAATTCCATTTTGAATTCAACATCTAATGGTAAAAGGCGAGCTCCATTTCATCTTGTAAACTAAGAAAAAATATCATCGAAAGATATGGTATTATTTTACTTTTATATATATTTTTTTGTAGATTCATGATTTATTTGGAAAAACGTAAGTAAGGCTCCAATAGACGATCAAATGAGAAAAAGTAGATTTAGGTGGGCTAATCATATGCGGCTTAGACCTAATATAATATATGTTAGGAGGTGCGAGTTGATTCAAGTGGAAAGCTAAAAAAGAGTATAATGAGACCCAAAAGGATATTGTTGGAAGTAGTGAGAAATGATATGTGAATTTATGACTAATATGCTCATTACTAGACTAGAGTAACAGATCGGGATATGTATACCCGACCCAAATAGTGGAAAAAAAAGACTCTTATCATGATGATAATATTTTTCTTCTGTGCAAAATTCTAAAGCATGACCCATTCATTCAAAAACAAACTTGGACAGAAACTTTTACAAGTTGATAATCTCAAACAACACGATTGTGAATATAAGAATGAATGATTTTGAACCTTAAAATAGGCTATTTCAAGCTCTATTTTTTGACAATTCAGTGTCGTTCATTTTAATTCTTCACTATAATCAATAGAGCTACACCATTTGTTGAGCTTCAAATTCTCAAATTGACAGCGAATTACATATAGGGTAACCTAGACTCTGTTTTTTTTATCAAAAATCCCTTAGTAAGATAAAGAATTTTGGAAAAAGTCTACGATTGAATAGGACCTTTTTTAAACTTCTTTTCATTTGCTAGCATGTTCTCATTTACAGTATTACACCATACAAATTACTAGCCTTGGAATCTTTGATTGGGGTGGAACTGTCCTTTTCCCTTGACCTTTTATGCTACTTGTTTGTGATGACAATGTAGGGTCAAATTTTATGATGCTTTTTATGACACGGATTGACGCTTCCAAAGCTCTGGATCGCTTGTTGCCAAAAGGTTAAAAATCTGGACCCTTGGCACATAGGTCGTGCTGGGTTCACTCTGGTAATGGCCTTAGCCTGACCCTTCTTAGGTTACATTTTGTGGCTCAGGTCCTACTTTTTCAGGGCCGGGCGGCCCGCGCATCCCCTCCCTACTGTGTGGATAATGTCAACCATTAACAACGGCAACCTCTCAGCATTCAGTTTTGTTATCTGACGTCTTTTAGGGCGTGTCAACCCAAGTTCCACAATCCCCCATAGAACTGGCGGTATTCACTTTTTAGCCTTAATAATAAGAGAAGCAAATCCGTTGTATCCACTTTACTGTAAAACTCGTACGTTGTCAAATAGGGGAATGCTGTAGTACTGGAATACATGGTTTCCAAATATGAAAACAGGCCTGTAATTTAAAATGATTTAAATTAGATTATCTAGTGCTTCAAATCAACTTAGAGGTTTTGGTTTAATACCTTAAAAAAATGTGGGTCATATTGTGGCTGATGAACATAGATGATTAACAAGATCTATTTATGAGTTACAACAATCTTGAATGGTCTAAATTCAATTTTTCATGTCCAAACTCTTACAAAGACCAGAGTACTTTTGGTGGTTTTTCATCATTGTTATGCCAAGGGGCAATCGACTTTCGCCCCAACTATTGTGAAATGTAGTTATAGTAGATGAATAGTGAATTTCACGTCCATAAAAACCCCAATTTCCAATTGAAATTTTTGAGAGATTTCGGATCAAAGTTTAGAGAGATTTTGCATAAAAAAGGCAAAACTATTTTCTCTCTTGTTTTTGTTGTGGTTATCTCAGTAATCTCAATTTCTTTATGAGAAATCATCTGTGTTTTAGGGAACCTTATCCCCCATCTGTTAGTCTCACCTAAAAGGCTAAAGATCTTGGGCTCTGCAATTCTTTGAAACCTTACATGAGAGTGGAGCTTTGAGAGTTTTTTTTTTTTTTGGGAAATGAGCTTGATTTTGGTTCAGGTTATTTTGGGCCTTTGAAGATTTTATAAGGAACATTTTGGAAAACTTATGCGAAGGGCAATTTTGAAATGTTATATTAAATTTTTTTTTAATATTACAAATTTACAATTCCAAGATTGAGAGAGAGGAATCCAAAGCATGTCACACATGCATTTGAATATGGAATCTATGAAAATTAGAACTTTCTTCTGTATTTTTGTAAATTCGTTTAAACAAATAGGTGTATGATAAGAGAGGGAAAACTCGTATGGAAAGAATCTACAAAGGTCCTAAGAGGTCTATATATCTATGTACTATGTATTTGTACTTTAAGAGTGAGAAAAGTGTGTTCATTTTATATCTATTGTGTTATTAAGTACAAATTCACAGCAATGCTTCTTCCTCCATTCGTCCAACAATTTTAACAGTTGTTTCACTCTGTCCATTGTTTTATTGGGGGTATATTCACCCAACACCCGATTAAATCACAAAGAGATTATACGTTAAGGGTGTGTCTAATACTTCAAGAACCGACATTTAGTAACACTGGGTCCAATAGAGGTGCAGCCGGCTTCTTTTTGAATTTGAGTCTTCCTAGTCCGGGCCGGGCTTGCTATTTTGTAGAGTCAATTGTGATGCAACTCCAAAAATCAAAGTCTCAATGAGTTTGGTTAGAAGTGCAGTTGGTTATGAGTGTTCTTCACTCAGTTGAGACTTCATTTAAATACCTCTGGGTTCTCTTGTCATGGATCGAAAGCTCATTTTAACCTCAATTAAGTATGAAACTCCAAAATTAGTTTGTGAACACATTCTTGATCTGCCTGACGATCATTGAGCATCATCCTTGAGAATCAGCAACATTTTCAAGAAGTTTTGAAGCTTATAGGTTGTCTATATTTCTAGCCTCGATTAACTAAGAACACTCGGTTTTGGCCTGCGCTTGCTTAGGACTCATTTTGTCTGAAATCTCGTTCCTAGTCGATGGTAAAGTAATTTCTTTGCATTCAACGTCAAGATCTATGCAAAACTGAGAGAGATTAGAAACCAACTTGTAAAAACATAGAAGTAAAACAAATACCAGGATGTCATTAAGACTGTCATTTTTAACCAATCAAAGTTATTCCACAAACTAAAATTGATTGAGGTTAAAAATAGTAAATAATAAGTACCAAATTCTATGACCAGGCACTGGAGGATCAAGGATCAGATGTAATGAGAGAGAGGGAGAGAGAGATGGGGGTTCAATGGAGGTCTAGAGAGAGAATGGAAGGGGTCCATGAGTGATGGAGAGAGAGAGGGAGGAGTGAAGGGGGGGGGGAAGTCCTTTTCTAGATTTTGATTAGAGGGTCATTAGAAAAATAAGAATAGAAAATATTATAATTTGGATAATGAAAAAAAAATGGTAAAAGGTTGAACGTCATTTTCTTTAAACTTGGAGGGCACCAAAAAGATCTACACAAATTTGAATGCTTATTTGGAATTATAATTGTGGTAAACGAGGTATCCATCTTTTTTCTTTTAGGGTGGAAGGACGACCTTCCATTGCAGGTTTTTTTTAGTGTTAAAATGAGTTCATTTTTGGAACCTCTCTTGAATCTTTTATAATTTGTGAGAGAATCCCTTCCACTCCCAAAAACTCCATGTATCAAACACACTCTTAAGTTTTTGCATAACAATATCCCTTTCTAATTCATGAATTTGGGAATTTATAAAGGAATTATATAATGAAAAAAGTTTATACAAGGATGTAAGCTTATAATGTAGAACTACAGATGTACCTCAAAAATCCATCGGAAAATATAGTTTTAATGTTGAAAAACCCTTTGATTGATCATCTCAACATCGAGAT